ATCTCCTCCTGCTTTTCATCTGGTCTAAATGTATTTGAGCACAGAAAATATTTCAAAATATTAATTGTTTATTAGTACTTCCAGAGACCATGGGGTATTGATCGTCTACTACAATATTGTATCTACAGGTTTACTCCACATCTTGATGCTAATTGCTCATGTCTTGCAAACTAGTAGCAGAGTATATTACCGCTAAAATGACAAAGTTAACTACTAAAGAATAGCATACGATAATCACAATTTGACAATCGTTGCAATTCTCCGTCATTTAAGTCGATCTCACCGTCGAAGCAGAAGTAACAGTTAAAATAATATTTCTCTTTTGTCATTAACCTATGCTGACCTATAGTGCCATATGTCGTAAGTATTGCATCAATTGAACGCCCATACAGTAAACTAAATGTAATGCTTATGAACAGCTAGGCATTGTGTCGGTGGCAGAAAAGTGTTAGCCTAAAAGCGAGAGAGTTTTATTATCAAATATTGTATTAGGTGGAGTGATTTGCGCAAGATGGCTGGCAGGAGCTGGATGCGAGAAGCCCAAAAGCGATCTAAGTGTCGTGCAATGGGAGAGGCCCATGTCCAGCAGTGGACTGCGATAGGCTGATGATGATGATGATATTATGTTCAGATAAACTGATAATTAGTACAATTTTTATATATGAGTTAACGTAACTTAAGAAACATTAACGACGCACGTGTACAGGCCTAACACTGCTTGCAAAAATACGTTCCATTATTGGTTCAATCATTTTAGATCTGGTAATTTTGAGCTGAAGTATGAGCCTCACGGTCGACCGGTATCTAAAGTCGACAACGGCGAATTGAAGCCGATAGTGCTTGCTGCAGGCTTTGGAGTTACTGTCAAAACAGCATTGAAGTAAAGCTAGATCAAATCAAATCAAATCTAGCTAGCGACCATCAGCGAGACATACGCGTTGAAGCACGCATAGCACTACTGAATCGGTATAGAAACTAGGGAATTATCAATTGAATTGTTACCTAGGAAGAAGTGGATCCTGTACGACAACTATAAGCGTTCCTCTCAGTGGGTGGACCCAGGTATAGCACCTAATCAGTGCGCTAAAAGAACCACCACCAAAGAAGGTAGACCAGTGCCGGACTTCTCAGCATCACAGCTTCTTACCGAATGGCACAACAGTGACGGCAGATGTCTATTGCCAAGAATTGCAAACAATGAAGGAGAAACTCGCAATTCAACAACCCCGATTGGTCAATTGCTATTCCCCATTGCTTCCCCACGAAAACGCGTGATCTCACACTTCACGACATAAAATCGCAAAGCTACAAGAGTTACAGCTGGAAGCTCTCCGTCACCCTACAGATTTCTACTTTTTTCAAAGTACTTTTTTCAGACTTCTACAGTAAAGGGACAAACTGCCATCGAATTCTAAATTGTGTAAATATTTTGGGCCAGTACTTTGATTATCATTATTATGATTATCATGCAAATCTGCAACTTAATAGATAAAGACCTAATATTTTTATTTCAACGTACTTTTGCATTAACGTTGTGGTTTGTTATTGGTTTAAAAAAACAATCTAATCTAAATAATATCGTAAAATAGGTTTGACTTCAAAATTAAAACTTGATATAATAACTTAATAATAATAAAAGTAAACCCCAACCGTGAGCCTTACATGTAAATAAGTAACTTTGCATTCAATCTAATGAAATTATAACATTTAAAATTAAGAATTCTTTGAAATGCACATAAACAAACAAGGTTGTCTTAGTTTCATCTTCATCATATTATGATGAAGATGAAACTCAAGGTTTATTTAATCGATGTACAATACATTTTCGAACCAAAAAATATTAGTTCGCAATCTCAAAAAAAAAATTTCATTGATTTAATGCATTAAGTACTTATTATTTTTTTTACTTTATTTATTTATTAACTTTACTTCCGATCTACCGATCTTCGATTGCATTGACTTGTATTTTTACAGCTTCAAAGAACGGTAGACATACTCGTAAGTAATAACTTATATTGAGTAAATATTAAATTCAACTTGTCACCTCAATGCGTTTTCGGGAGTCTTACCAAACAAATATGCAAACGGACAACAAATTGATTCGTTTTCTTTTAAAGAATGAAACACTAAATATATTACATGATCGATTTCAAACTAGTTTTATTATGGTGTTGCGTTAATCGATAGTTAGACTACAAGACAATATTTATAAAACTGTATTTACTTTATTTGCATCCATAACGTACAACAGTTGCGTAAGTGCTAATAGCTTAATCATTTACTACAACAAGTGAGATATTAAAATAATAAACAAGTAATCACGACCTCAACACAGTTACCTGTTCGATTGATACGGCTATTTTAAAGGTACTTATTTTCCTCCACAAACATTGATTGTGTTATATCCAGTCGTATTTACAGTATCTATAAATTCGCCAATAGCTTATCAAACCTTTCTTAATTCTTGATGAGCCTACAATGTATGTCTTTTCGCTGTAGTCTCCGCTTTTACAGCCCAGTAGGCTGTGGATATTAATCTATGCCAAAATAAAGTTCGTAGAAAAGTGATGACTCTGAAATACGTTTTATTTATTTATTTATTTCTATTAGACTGCGACAGGCCAATAATTTTTGATAGAACGAAGTCTGTCGGAGCAGCTAGTACTTTAATAATGTAAGTATAATAAAATCCAAATTTCCCATATTTTTGTATTGTTAAGTTTTTATGACTATTCTCATACTCTGTTTTGTCTTATCTGTTTGAACGATATTTTGAGTTTCTGGAAGTTTTAACTTGACCCCAAATAACATTGTTATTTATTGCATAATACATAAGCATCGTCTTAATCTAGCCATATCAGTCAAGCTCACACTATTTAAAACACTGTCTATGTTTTTTCCTTCTAATAGGGCTTGCAATATTTATGAAGTCATTTCGATGGTGAGCAAGATCTGCTCACCATCGAAATGACCAACCAACTAAGCAATAACCAACAGAAGTAAAACACACTGACAAATATGATGAAGACCAATACAAAACGTTTTCTTTTAATCAGATATTTACCACTTACAAGCTTAACATTCGATTACGATCAACGATCTTCTGCACACTAGCTTAAATGACTAAAAACGATACTAGCAGTCTACAATCTATTGACTTTATAAACAATAGACAATTTGCTAATATGATTATTTATAATATCTACATGTAACCCAGACGACTTGATATGGAGCTAATCTTAAAGATGCTCTGATTTTTTTTTTCTTACTATTCCTAAGCAGTTGACAGAACTTTAAACAAACGTCTGTCATAATGGTGACGATATGAAGCTTATAAACGAACCCATTGTGTTTTCACTCACGTATTATTGCTTAATCTGTCTGTCATGATTCTTTTTGCTTCTTATATTCAATTACAATTTTTTAATGCACGTCATTTATTAACTTCCATTTCTATGCTTTCCGTATGCGTTGAACTGAAGTTTGCGTTACTATGCGTACGGTATGCGTTAGTAGTACTGAAGTAAATAAAATGAGTGGTAATGTTAGTTTTCATTGTATTGGATGCTGTAATGAGACAGTTAACCTGTGAAAGGTACTATTAATAAATTTGCTCATGTGTTTACTTTGAATAAATTCTCATTTCTACATTTTGCGTTTAAAGTTCTCTGCTATCCACTTGTGACTCCGCTTTTGACTTTTGGGTTTAGCTCACCTTTGCAACTGCTAACACTTGCAGTAACAACCTCAAGTAACCTTACTGACTCAGTTAAAAGGAGGAGTTGCTTAACACCGGTTTTCTGTGAGGCCGAGCCGCCATACATACTAATACATGACTCTCCCACGAGCAAAAAATGGTGTTACAAAAACATATACATCCATACTTATATTATAACTGACCGAACATGAAATGAACTTACATAGGAATAAAGTCGATTTTGCAGTAAAATCAAACGATGCCCACCTTCTTCCTTTGACATCTATTTTCCCATCCCTATCGAATTCTGGTAACCGTGGTGACGAGTGATATCGGTGGAGCGATCATCAATTAAGTTATGGAGTGAAAACTTAACAAATTTACTCGAGCACAGCCGCATATTATAATATTCGTGCTTTAAGTTTAAATGTTATACATCAATAAATTAATTTGATTATAAGAATATTGTAATGTATTTTAAACATGTAATTACATAAAAAAGAATCACGTCATTTTTAGTAAATACAATCCTCCAGCAAGATAACAAAAAAATCTTTATTAAAGCAATTATTATGTACTTATACGATAGGTGATCAATGGGTTTAGTCTTCACAAATATAGTAATATATTACTTTACATTTAATTCAGGTTAAAGTATATCTTGTCCGCATTCCCTATAACTAGAAAAACCTCAAGAAGATACGAAGGTTAACTTTAAAAAAAAAACTTTTTTAAATGTTTTACAAAAGTTTTTGCACAAAATTTATAAAATTGAAATAAAAAAGCAATTAACCTTTTAATTTATGCCAATAAATTAAAACTGAAAACTTATTTCTGTCAGTCAAATTTTAGTCGAGTCGAGTTTATCGCTGGGTTTTAGGTCAAGTTATATTTAATATTTTTATGAGACTAAAGTGGTCTTAAAAAAATAGAGATAATCTATCCTAAAAAAAATCTAAATTTCTAAAAAGGTTCTTTTGATAGAAACTACTTAAAAATAGCAGCCATAGACAAAACACACGATGGAATTTCTAATGACTTTCCCTTTCAAGTGGGTTAAGTAGTCATATTAAAAATAATATTATTATTATTACAAGGTTAGCTAATTTTACATTAAAGTCCAAAGTTAAAAAAAGTTTGTCGTCTCTTTAAGCATAGAGTGGTGCGCGAAGCGCGTCACCGCGACCCATCCTCACATGATGTCAGCGTTCTGCAACTGCTTGCAAGTCGGGATATATATAAAATGAACGATCTTACACTAGTTACTCATTCGTTAGTTTGAACTCAAGACGAACTAAGCATCATGCTCAAATACGTGAGTTGAAATTATTTTTCATATTTAGTAAAATATATTAGATATACTAAGCACAAAAAATGGTATAACGATGTGCTTCAAATGTTTAAATTTATAATTATTTGATGTACATTGAAAAAGTGTGTCGTGGCATCTGAGTAAGGTGTAGTAACAATTGTAGGATGCGCAAAAACAATAGAAAGAGGTGTCATAGCGGAGTGACCTGATGACGCCTGACCCCAGGTTATGCTGCAATACGTCCATATAACTTGTGCTAAAGCGGCTATAAACCTGGATTGAATTGTGGTATTTTTACAACGTGATAAAAGGATTTGTTACTATTTCTATTTTGCTCTTATGAGTTATCGAAACTTTTAATTTATAGAGAGAGAAAGAGAGAAAAAATACAAACCCAGAAACCAAAAAGCATCTACTTAAAACAAGTTCGGGTTTTTTATGATAAGACTTTTTAAGACTATTTTTAATAAGATCTTTTTTTTTCACTGGTTACATTAATTTTCCAAATAGTTTTTTGGCATCTAATTGTAATTTAATATTATGAAACGATTATGATAACTTACATATCATCTTTAAATTTGATTCAGTATTTAGGGTTGAAAATTGCTTTCCTTTTGTTTAACGTCAACTGTGATTTTAACTTAAACCAAATATTCTTCAGAGGTTGATAGCAATATGAGACATTCGTTCACGTTTTATGCAAGTTTCTACAGCTAAGAAATAAAACAAAATTATATATGGAATAATTTTCAATTGTAAAATTTGGTAGTAACCAATGGAAAAAAAGATGCCCATATAACCCAAGTTGATTTTGCACTACAAACAACTTTCAGAATTAAATACTGCGTAACATCGTTATAAAATTTTACAAATATTGGCATTTACATAATATTTAATTGGGGAAGTGATAAAGCAAATATTTCACCTTTTGTTACTAATAAGGAGTTAATTTTAAGTTGTAAGTAGAGTAAAAACATTAAATTTTTAACTAGTTTTGTTTAAAAAGATCCTAATTGTGTCTTATATGCAGTATTAAGTTATACCATGTTTATCTTCTGATTAAGATCTTAGATACTAATGTAGTAATCGACGACTACGCTGTAGTTAGAATTGTATTCATAGGCATTATCTTGATACTGACGATCGAATAGATTTACTGAATGCTATTTTCTTATAACATAAGTCTTTATTTGTGTATAAAAAAGATTATATGCATCCATATTACTTGCAAAGATGAACTTTAGTAGTGCAATGCTAAAGATATATTAAAAACTTCAACCTTTGGATGTAATTTTGAACTAAAATCATTTTATGTTTATTACGTTGACCAGTATAACTTGAACTGACATTATTTTAAACAGCTTTAAATTTCCAATACATTCTTATTATTTAAAATACATTTTGCCTTTCCAACTTCTTCCATAGACAAACTTTTAGTAATTCGAATTTCAGGTTCTTGCGTTCCGATTAAAATAATTTTAATAAAATTAGACCAAAGTAGTATTTTTATTCCAAATTTAACGTGTATTTTCTTTACAGGTGACAGTATTGTGTGTCTTGGTGGCCGTATGCGCTGGTGCACCCCAGAACCCGCAAGATGTGCAGATCCTGCGTTTCGACAGCAACGTTGAGACCGATGGCTACAACTTTGCGTAAGATTCATTTTTCTTTCGCATCTTTAAATGCATCAATGCCTCGTTAGGTGTATTTACAGATACATACTTACATACTTAAATCATATTACAAATGACCAACAAAAACTCATCACTTATGTAGCTATTCATAACTCACCAAAAAAAGTTGTGTAATCATGATGTTAAAGTATCGCCAATTAAAAAGAACTTTAAAAAAGGCCACTTTAGTACTTCCAAATTGTAATTCTTTCTTAAAACGTTATTCAGTAATTTGGCAATCCTTATTCAGCATTTTTCAAATATGTAAACTATACATATACGGTATTTTTTTAAATAAAATCTGTTTACTATTAGCTAAGGGCATAATATGGTGTAAACACCAAATAAAGAACCTTCTTTTTAAATTGATATAAAAAAAGCGTAAATAATGAATTTCATGCTAATAAAAAACGATTAAAGAAATTTCATTTAAACCAAATATAATTACTTAATCCAATAGTAGTTGCTAAACAAACCCAGTTCAGAGGAGGTGATGACCCTTTGTTTCGTAAGACTACATTATACAACATTTGCCAGCCATAAAAACAACATGAATGTAACCTTTAAAGTGTCTACAAAACAATACACTGTGTAAGTTCTACCTTATTATATAAGCTGTTAACTAAAATATATTAACAGATATTCAATATTACTATAAATTAAACACATTCACAGTTGTACGTCTTTTTTACTGTTTCTCGTCAGTTGTACATTTGTAAGTGAGCGCGTTGATGTCTTTTATATTGGCTAATGACAATAAATCACATCACATCACATCAACAGCCTTTAGTAGTCCACTGCTGGACATAGGCCTTTTTCTAGAAAGGTTTTTTGGCATACAATGATAATTAATACTCGAAGTAAAAATCCCGCCTTTGAATAAATTATTTTGTAAGTGTATACTTATGACATAATATTCATAATTTAACTTAATTTCTCATTAATTAAAATCATGCCCAGTCCGACTTTTAAACCATATACAGATGATCTTATTATTTTCTTCTATACTCTAGGTATGAGACCAGCGATGGCACATCCAGACAAGAAGAAGGCAAGTTGGACAACCCTCAATCAGAAAACGCAGCTCTTACAGTAACCGGCCAGTATGCGTTCGTCGCTCCCGATGGCAAGCACTACTCCGTCACCTTTACTGCTGGACCAAACGGTTTCCAGCCGAAAACCTCCCTAGGACAGTAAAACCTCTCGATTACCTTGTAAATAGTTAATACTCTTACATATATCACAATTTTGTAAAGTAAAAGTACATGCGATCTCAAAGCATCTTGGCATAAAAAGAGATCCATTAAAATTCACGTGCCATACGGACGTATATTTCTACTTTTATACTTGTTTTATAATTAAATTTTTATCAAGAAATAAAAACTTTTTTGGTGAAAATATTGTTTTTTTTTTTAATTTTTACTTAAGTATTTGATGAAATGTTTCTAATTCAAGTATTTAAAACCTTCATTTAAATTCGAATAATAATGGTACCAATTACATAATATTGCCTAATTCATTTAAAAAATAACTAAGTAGCACAATTTATAGTGACGACTTAGCGTCACAACAAAACAAGATGAGTGAAAACGAGTGAAGACGAAACAATGAACTGAGGATGTACACCTATTACACGCACGATTCAATCCCGGTACTATTCCTTTCATTTAGTGTCCAGGTTCAGATATGAAGGGTAAATATTTATTTGATATTGAGCGAGCCAAAACACAGATGCTAATTGATTGCAATAGATCAGGACAAAAACAATAAATTGTTTCTACGTTAGGCTAAACAGAAGTGAATGTCCTAGAATCTATCTTTAATGGGTTGTATATGTTAGTGTCTTAGTAATAGTCGTGAATTGACTAGATCACAGTTTAAAGTGCATCACTTTGTACGCAATATTTCTATTTATTCAGTTATTTCTGTTTATTATTTACATATAAAACTTGAAAAAAATCGGTAGAACCGTTTTTTAGATACAAAATAAATACATTTATATCACATCAAGAATTGGATTGATACCTTAAAATTATGAGTGAGATTTTAACTACGAACAAACAGATTACTATTTTTGTATCTACTATATACACTTTATGTAGCCTACAGCAAAACCTAATACTGAGATTAAATTAATAGATTATCAAACAGATATCTAAAGCTAATGTCAACGTTAGTGAATTGCTTTGCATTTATAATATTTTACTTGCAACTAATAAGGTTTAATTAATACTAAAAATAGCCTGGACTGACCTGACCCATTACAATAACCCATATTTTATATTTTTTTATTATTTTGTAGGCCAGTGTAAGTTTGTATACACTATCTACAGATAGTGTTTATAAAGTTACACTGGCACACACTGACCCACAATATGTTTAAAATTTTTAGCTAATCTAATCATTCTTAGGCCCGTATTTTAAAAGGTGTCTCAGTCGTGAATCTAGTCTTAAAACTAATTTTAAGTAAAGATTTTATTATTGAACGTCACTTAAAACGAGATTCACCGATCCATTCTCAAGTGAGTGATAGCTTATTTTAGAACGATGTTTATGTCGAAATCATTACTCAGGTATAGATTTTGACAGCTGTGATCTTTGTTTACGTGAGACAAGCTGAAACTAGTCTCAAGCGGTGATTTCTAGGGCATTTAGGGAAAATTAATGTGTTTTACGATTATTTGTTTTTGAATAATTACGAAAGATTTACAGACTTTACTTCATTTACGAAAGAATTACTTGTCATACTATAATCAATTACACTTTAATTTACCTTTATTGATATGAAATTCACCAAAACTCACATTTTACACACACAATACCAGTTAAAATTACCACAACCTTTTGGTTTATGTTATAAAAGTTTAGTAATATAAATAACTTAAACGTTCCGTTATAGCCTATTCATACAGCTAGTCATTTTTATTTTAATATTTATTATATTTAATTTTGAACGAACAACAAGCTTGTTAATATGTTAACATTGCTATACTAACCAATAGTATATTATATACAAATTCACAGAAATTATTTTTGTAAAAGAAACCATACCACTTCAAGTTGACTCGGATAAAAAAGTAACCCTTCATACATTTATGTATTTGAAAATAGTAAAACTAGGTGCCAAATAATTTTAATACGGAAGCAAAGAAAGTCATTCATTCAAGAAGAAAATTCATTCATTTGTGATACTGACATATGGCATCTTTATTCAATCGCATAGATAGACACAGCTAATAACCACAACCTAAACAGCTGATGTGATTAGTAAAATAGTTCACGTGCTGTTTACCACTTCATATACGTCCTAAATGTAATGAGTCTGATCCTTGGTATTGGTATTGGCAGTGAGCTCCGATTTCCGCAATTAGACTCAAGATTGGTCCTTTATGCGTCGAGGAAAAGTTGACAACGTGAAACATCCAATCTCCTTCCAGAAGCGCAGAAGCTTCCGGGGCTTTCACAGGCTTCTAGGAGCGATTTTGTATCAGGTATAATACTTACACGTTATGTGGCCACTTCCTCGTATTCCATGATTACGTGGGCTCTGCCGTTTCTTCTGCTTTTAGACATCCCCTGCAAAGAAGGCTGTTAATGGTGGTGTAGGTCACCTGTTATAGCTTCTAAAACTATTCGGATATTTAGTCTGCTAACAGTGATCAGTTTGCAAGTAAGTCGTAATGATAGTTTGATGTAAAAGTAACCCTTCATACATTTATGTATTTGAAAATAGTAAAACTAGTAGTCAAATAATTTATGGTGATGACTGAACAGTCAGCACCAGTTTGGACTGTCTGCAGCCGACTGAGTTTTTCCAGATCAAGTTGTATGCTGATCGAGGCTGGTTGAAAGGCAGCGGCAGAAGTATGGTTGGTCGGTGGCCGGAGTTGCCGAGCTCCTCCATGCCAAATCATCTATCATCAGTCTGATCTTTGTGATACATAGTAGAGTCGAGAGAGTACACCGATTTATGTTGTAATGTTTTCTTAATCACGAATACATCAATATAATATAATAATTATAGTATAAGTTATAATGCAAAAAGATAAAAATGTGTTTCAACGAACATTAGACTTGTTAATAAAAATATATAAAAGTTTATTCTCTCAATACATAACTTATTAATAATGGTTAAATGAATGACACTTGAATCTAGAACTGGGTACAATCTCTTGTATTGTTAGAAATGAATGGCCCTTGTGAACAAATTACAAAGTATACAATATTTAGCTATTACGAATATGAATGAAGTCGTTCAAATTTGAATAATAATTGCAAAAGTAACGGAGGTATAACCATTTGGTTGAACACAATATTGTTTTCATAGCTTTATTCAAATTTGTGCATAGTAGTAAGTTCACGTGTAATATACTCGTATATCGACGAATGAATGGCAATTCTGTAAGATATGATGAAGATGAAAATAGTATCATCTCTCAATCTAAATTTTCAATAATTTAGATTGATTTTTGTTACTCATTCACATGGAACGGCTTAACGAATGTGGATGAAATTTTACACGAAGATAAATAATAGTCTGGAATAGCACATAGACTCATCTTTTATTAATAAATGTAATTATAAATTACTCCAGACTTCTAAAAAGTATACCTTTATGGACAGGTAGATGGTGTTGGTGGTTGGTGGTGATAGTTTTTGATGCGCGAAATTCCTATTGGAGCTGATTTTTTAAAAATAAAGATTCAACTATCAGGAATTGATTGCAATAAAAATTATAAATAAATATTGTAAGCTAAAGTGCCAAAAAATATGTAAAAAATGGTGAAAATCAGTTTTCGTATCTGGAGCGAAAACTATAGCTCCTACGAAAAAAAGTTGAAGGTAACAAATGTGCGTAATAAAAAAACAAATATAGTGGACCCCCGGACTGCAAAATCGGACCATCAACTTGCCCGAAATATAAAAAAAAACCACGTTTTTATTATTAAATTTATAACTTGCGTTCGGGAAGTGGTAGAGATCTGAAGTTTGGATATGTTATCAGTGTTGTAGTCCTGTAACTACAGTTAAATTTTCAGGTCAAAATGTTGTAAAATTTTTGCAAACAGTGACCTTTTTTTCAAGCGATTGGAACGGGGTTTTAATTTTTGAAATAAGTTATAATGTACTAAGGAGAAGTTTAAATGCAAACATCCAAATTTTGAGACCATTTCATAAATATACATTTGTTTGAATAGTCAATAAAAAACAGGTACTTGCGGCAGTGGCAGCGCGAGTTGAAGGGACAGCCACCGTAGTTCAGCTGACGTAGCTCTGAATTTTCAAAAAAGTGAGTGAGTAATGTCATAAAAGCACAAGGGTTCATATTATTTTTGAAAATTCAGAGCTACGTCAACTGGACTACGTTGGCTGCCTCTTCCACTCCCGCAAAATGTATCTGTTCTTCATTGATTATCTAAACAAATGCATATTTTTTTAATAATCTGAAAGTTTGGATATTTGTAGATAAACTCCTCCTTAAATATAGGTATGTTAAAAAATAAAGCAGAAGAAGTCGACGGTTTGCAAAACGTTCATTCAATTTTTTTTAGAGGCATAAAACTGGTTTTTACCCCCTATTGGCCCCTTAGCTGACAATATTTTATTATAACTTTTGTTGCAATCAGTCCCTAATAGTTGAATCTTTAGTAAAACATTTTTGGCTCTAATAGGAATGTTCCGATTTTTTTTAGGTTTTTTCAGCTAATTCTACCTGTCTATTATTGTTTTACTTTTGGCCATGAAAATCAAAAGGGCTTGTAGCACTTTCTATGGCAAAAATAAAAGAAGTCGAGTTAGAAGCTCTAGGGACTTTAACCAGCCTTAAGACCTTAAACCTTTATTAATATATGTGTAACATATAGCGTTAACCTTCTTTCTAAGGAGAGGCCTATGTCCAGCAGTGGACTATTAAAGGCTGTTGATGTGATGTGATATAGCGTTACTGAGTTTCTTTTTCTTTTTCATTATACTGAGGATTTGACATACATATAATAAGAAAGAGCACTATAAGCTTTATGCTGTTTTACATCTGCTGAGCACATAAACAAAACAGGCAAGTAAAACTCTAGTCTTGTAAGGATTTGGAAGTAAAGGCAAACGATTGCCAATAAATCAGCTATTTATAGAAAAAATCCTACATAAGTACACTTTTTATAGCCACTTCGCATCAAATAATTCTTTCAAATAATTTATTT